TTGAAAAAGTCATTCACAGACCTTCTTCTCTGATGTATGTTTACTCAAGTCTCTGCATCTTTCCTATGGTTCTTTAAGCACATCCAAGAAACATACGTTTGCATTCTCTACTAAAACACACACAGAATACACACACACACACACACACCAGTTCACAATTAAAATGAGCAGTATCAAAAAAAATAAGAAACAATATTAAGTGTTTTCCAAATATGTGGTGAAAATGGACCCTGTACATGACTAAATGAAAGAAAAATTGGTACAAACAGTATCAGTAACAACTGGGATATCAAAAAATTAAAAATGGAATTGTTTTCTAATTGCACGCTTCTGCTTCCGGGTATTTATTTCTCCAAAAGAATTCAAAGCAGGACTTGCAAGAGACATTGGCACACCTGTGTTGACCACAGTACAATTCACAAAAGCCTGTAATAGGTGGAATCAACCCCAATGTCTATGGATAAATAAATAGATTTAAAAAATGTAGTATATACACACAAAGGAGTTGTATTCTGTCAGGAAATTGAGAAAGATCTTAACACCACATAGCACAATGACAAACATTGAGGACGTTTTTTAAGTGAAGCACACGAGACAAATACTATAGGATGCACTAAGTAATCTGATGGGGTCCACCTCACAGGAAAAAAACAAAGGTAATTATCTGAGAACTGGTTTTAAAACAACAGAGAAAATGGTTGTTTAATGTACACTGAGACATTTCTGGCAGATGGAAGTTGCAGCAGGTCACATGGACAACAAAGGGAGTATACTTAACGTGAATGGACTATACAGCTATAGTCCATTATATGGTTAGGACGCTAGATTTGTGGGGGCTTCTGACAAAGATGAAGGCATAGGTAAACAGCTATGCTTCCTCGCACTAGCAAAAGAAGAGTAACAACCAATATAAAAACAAAAAACAAACAGAACTACCAGAAAATCGAACTGTACAAAAGCCTGACAACCAATGAGTTAAAGAAGAAGCATTAATCTGGACTAATAGGAGGGGCAGAGATGGACAGCAAGGGCTAAGAGGACTTGGTGGCAGGCGGACGGGGGCGGGTGAGGTAGTGGCTGGGGGAAGGGCAGTCCCACATTCAAATGCACATATACCAGGAGGAACAACTGGGGAGAGAAACAGTGAAATCTAGGGTTCCAGCGCAAAAAAAGAAAGTTGCAAAACCTCTGGCTGTCAAAACCTGTAGGGGCTTGCAGAGGTGAGAAAAACTCCCAGTCTTACAGCAGATTCTGTTGAAGGGGTAACAGAATGTACACAAGCCCACACACCAGGGAATCAGCACCAGAAGGGCACACTCACTGTGTGGATAGTAGGGGAAGTGACTGAAAACGGGGAGACCCAACCAAGCACCACTGTTCCCTCTCTGACACCTCCCCTGCACACAGTGCCGCAATGTTATGAAGTGAGTTCCCTACACTACCCAATACCTCAGACTCCTCCCCTTAAACGTGACAGGTGCACAGACACAAAGGAATACACCCAAATGAAGGAACAGATCCAAAATCCAGAAAAAGAACTAATCAAGGAACAGATAGCCAACCTAGCACATGCAAACTTCCAAACACTGGATGTCATCAGTATGCTCACAGAGATGCATGCGTATGGGTGCAAAATAAAGGAGGAAGTGAAGGCTATCAAAGTAAAATAAATAAAAATATACAGTGAACCAAAAGTAAAGGGAAGAAAACTGGGACTCAATTCAACTATTTGGAACAAAAGGAAAAAAATCAATATTCAACCAGAACAAATGGAAGAAACAAGAATTCAAAAAAATGAAATGAGAGTCTTTAGAATTTGGGGGACAGTTTAACCATGCCAACATCCGAATCATAGGGGTGTCAGAAAGACAGGAAGAGCAAGAAATTGAAAACTTATTTGAATAAATAATAAAGGAAAAATTCCCCAATCTGGAGAAAGAAATATACCTATAAGTCCAAGAAGCTCAGAAAGTCCCAAACAAGTTGGATCCAAAGAGGAGCACACCAAGACACATCAAAATTAAACCACCCAAGATGAACAATAACCAGAGAATCTTAAAAGCAACAAGAGAAAAAAAGTTACCTACAAAGGAGTTCCCATAAGACTACTGGCTGACTTCTCAAAAAAAACCTTACAAGCAAGAAGGGGCTGCAAAGAAGTATTCAAAATTATGAAAAGCAAGGATCTATTTCCAAGATTAGTCAGTCCAGCAAAGCTATCATTTAGAATGGAAGGGCAGATAAAGGACTTCTCAGATAAGGTCAAGTTCAAGGGCTCATCATCACCAACCCTCATGCTATGAAATGTTACAGGGATTTATCTAAGAAAAAGAAGATGACCAAAAATATGAACAGTTAAATGACTACAAACTCACAACTATCAGAGACTGAGCCTCAAGAAAACCAAAAAGGAGAAAAAACTAAGCAAACAACTAGAACAGGAGCATAAATCACAAAAATGGAGTTCACAGGGAGGGTTATCAGTGGGGAGGGGGTGAGGTATAGGAAATGAAGAAGCCAAAGAACTTATATGTACGACTAATGGACATGAACCAAGGGGAGGAATGATGGAGGGAAGTGGGGTACAGGTTGGAAGAAAATAAAGGAGAGGAAAAGTGGTACAAATGTAATAGCGTAATCAATAAAATATACTCAAAAACAGATGCTAGATTTGTGCTGACATGATTTTTCACAAAATTTAACAGAAAAGACTTCTAAAAGAAATGTTATAAAACTTTTTAAAAATTATATTCAATTTAGGGATATTTTTATCTCACAGAAGGAGAATATTAATTCACCCAGGAACAGATATAAAATTAACCCTATTATAGTAACTACACTGGACAAAACAAACACTGACCATGAACAAAACACGGAAAAAAACAAGATACCATATTTTGTCATAAATACTGTGCCCTGTTTTGCCTAAATTTTTGAGAAAAAACTCAAGATGTACATTATACCTGGGTAGCACCTCCAATAACTGATATTTCAGACTCTTGTGTTTTGTAATTAGTTGTTACATAAAATTTCCTATGCCATAAAATGTTAAGAAAAGGCTAAAATTTTTTTATAAAACAAAAAAACAAATAACTTAATATAAATAAATACAGAGCTGAATTTAACAATTAAAATAAAAGATACTCTTTTCCTCAAAGTTTGGGCAGAATATGTGGGTGCCCATTATACACAGGAGCTTGTTACACATGGCAAAATATGGTCAGTCATAAAAAACATAAGGTAAAAACCACACAAACAAGCACATAATTTTCATGGCAAATGACATGGCAGATTTATATTTTCATTAAGTCCCACAATATATTATGTGTACTGAGTTGAAAACTATCATTCACTTTTCTAATATACGAATAAAACCGAAAACATAACTCAATTTGGGAAATCTATCACTGACAAGGGAACACCATGGAAAACCAGTGAGGATGGCAGCTGAGTAAGATGGAGAGATGGACTTTTAAGAAAAACTCCAAGTCTTTTCCTTAAAGGGCTTGACACAGACTTATTGGGACTCACTTGCTCTGATCTCTAGCTTTGGGACAGCAGATTGAAAGGTGCTAGGGATTTTAGGGAGGGACTCAACTGTCTGCCTTCAGGCCTAAGGCTGGAGGAGCAGCCTGCCCCCACACAGAAGCCCTGTCTGAGGCCATTATTCCCTTGCTGAGCCCTCCCCACCACAGAGATAGAAGGAAGGTGCCATATCTGAGTCTCTGCCTACCTGCCTGGTGCTATAGCCCTGTCCTGGGGATTCCCTGAGACCTTGCCCCATTCAACTTGACAACCCACACAAGCCATGTCCGGTGCCTTTCCCACTCAAATGGCCCCTCTTGCATCATGGTGCAGACTCTCCTAAATCTTTCAAACAAGCTGGATCTGGTCTCTGCATGCCCTGTAACTCTCACTCAGCAACCACATGCCAGACAAAGCCACAATTGGCCCTGGATCACATCTTGCCCTCTCTGGGTACCCTACAAACCCAGCTAAATCAGGAGCCCTCTGCACATCACTCTATAATGTGTGCCAGGTGATTGATCCAGGGCAAATCACAGGTGGTGGCTGACCTTGAACCTCCAGGGAGGACCCAGAGCCAGTAGACAGCTTAGGAACATGTTACACTCCAACCCTACCACTTCTACAAGCAACACACTCAAGGGCCAGAAGCAGTGAGCACCAAAGCACCACCAAACGATTTAAAAAATATGAACTGATATTTTGTAACTCACTTCTTACCAAAGAATAGTGATGAAGAAATCGGGTAACAATAGAAACTGTCCTATAAGGTGGGCAGTGTTGTCAAGTCGGCTATGGCAGTAACTTACTGAAGAACTTAAACAGGTAAATAAACACAGTAGAGTATTCTAACAGAAAGGAATTAAAACATACACTATAAACTTCTTATGTTATTTCATACTATGCAAGAGGACATTTTAAAGTGAAACAAAAAATTAGATTGTCTCATTTCGGGTGGTGCATCTTGCTGTGATGAAATCACTGAGTAAGTCTACACTTGGTAGGGTCTTATTGGAAGCCTCCATAGTATTAGATTTTATAAACCAGAAAACATGACACCTGTCCCCAGGGTGCTTGGGATTTCTGCACCAAATTCCAGGATCTCAACTATTTCCTCTGTAATCACTTTCCATGAGAAAAAAGCAAAAGTTAAATGCAGAAAAGCTTAACATACATTTCGGAGAAATGCACAGATGTTCATGGGTCCCCAAAGCAAAGCAACAGAAGCCAGAGGACAGCAGCTCTCACAGGTGAAAAAAAAGACTTTGGCCCCAAGAGCTAACAGGATGACTGAGGTCACCTGACATGTTCGAGACAAACTGGCCCTGTACAACAACAGCAGCAGTAAGCCTGGGCTTCTCAAAATCCCGTCCACTGAAGCACAGCTTGCTTCCCAAACCACACTTAAAGGTCTGGCTTCCTCTGGGACCTTTGGGCTTCTCAGCAGTGTCACCTGCTTTCCCATCCCCACCTACCTGGGGGGGCAGATACTGTCTTTTCCTTGTTCACAATCCAGCACTCCATTTGCTCCAAAAAGTTGACCAGAACTGGCTTAGAGACAAAAGCACCTGTTTATATGAAAAAGAATCATTAGTTCTGAGGAAATTTCCCATTCCACTTTCTTCTTAGGTAATTAAACTGGTAATATAAAATATTCTAAAGTGATTTTCCAAATAACGTTTTCAGTAGCAACTTAATTATTCTAGACCACATGTAAAGTTTTCAGACACTAAAAGTCCCTAATTCACATGGTTCATGAAGTCTTTTCTCTCTACACTGGATAACCTGTAATTTCTCCATTGAGACCTAGAATCTGAAGGGCTCCCATACAAAGCAGAAGTCCCCCCAAAAATGTTAAACTGACAAAACAAAACCCCACAGGTGGAGCAGGAGGTCTGAAAGGAAGTCATCCTCACCCAGGGAGACCAGGGTCCTGTAGTTCTCCAACATCACATCCACGTACAATTTCCGCTGACCTGGGTCCAGACATTCCCACTCCTCCTGAGAGAAATCTACTGACACGTCCCTGAAGGTCAATGGTCCCTGAAACAGCAGAGTTCAAAATGTCATCCAACAAGCAAACACTGTTAGGAGAAGTGGTTTTGAGCAAAAAGAGTAGCCTGACTTACTTACTGGTATCATTTTCAATCAGATATATACTGTATTGTATTTTCAAACACTGAGACATGACGTTGACTACCACGAACCCCAAACAGAGACTTTATTTTTTGGGAAAAGAAACTTTAAAACGAAGGCATCAACACAGGCATAGGTATGTGAGCGTTGTATTTGTATCATCTGTAATGAGCTATGTACATTTCTCAGCTACAAAACTCATGGGGAGTTGAAAGTGTATGTACTTATCAACATTTAATTCAGACAAAAGACAAATGAAGATTTGCAAAAGTGCAAATTCTGATACAGGAGTCTGGGATGGGGCCTGTGTTTCCACATCTTTAACGAGCTCACTTTTTACTACTGACAGCAAAGTCTCTGGTCCATGTGCCACACTTCTGAACAGCACACAAAATAATACAGAATTCAGACACATCTTTGAGCTGGAAATGGTTTATAAAATTTATAGTTTTCAAGAAATAAGAAACAACAGCCGAAATACTATTTGAAAATGTTGTATAAGTAATCTTAGAACAAAATTATTATTCCTATGTTATAAGAGTATTTTGTGGAACATATAGTAAAGGGTAGAGCTAAATATTTCCCCAAACTTGATGTCCAATTTTTCAACAAACACAGGCAAATACATGTAAAGAGAACTTATGACTATTCATTGGAGTTTCGGTAACTGAGAAGAATGCAAACATCTGAGGAGTAAGAAGCATAAATAACTGAAATGTTAACATTTTATGCACACAGACTGACATATATATATATGGAAACTAGGTACAACTGGAAGGAGACAGAAAACAGAATTTTCATGTCAATGAAATTAAAATTTGTGAGTCTGTAAATCTCATAAATCTAATTGTGGATGGTGTTCTTTATCTTTTGTAAACACAGTAAGTAGAGGAACATACATAAAGTTAGAGCTATTTCTTAGTTTTTTATTTCTCTTAAAATTTTGTGTATCATTAGTGGAGAGCTATTATCTTAGAAATGTAACTGAATTGAAAATACACTTATATTCATCTTGTAAACTTTATTGAAAATACAAAAACTAACAAATAGGATATGTCTGTAACATGAGTGTGTAATATAAGAAAAATTTATAGGAACAAAGGCTGATTAATTCAATCATCCACGTCAAACACCAATTATCTCTAGGAAATAAAAGTATTGCCTTCATTTCCCAAAGCAAACAGAAACTAAGAAGATGACAAATGTGATGGTTTTTGTATATCCTTCAGTAATTCCCTTCTAGATCCTTGTTCACAACAAAGGGAAACTGTTACTGTACACCGAAGAGAGCACTTCAGCCAAGTGAATGTCAACTGGACTAGAATAATAGATATCAGGTGACTGAGGCACACAGGACACCTCATCACTGCTGTAACATTACTGGCAAAAATACAGAAATAAATCATTATGTGAAAGTGATCACAAATAAACTTTAATTTTTGCAAATGTAAATGCACATGTATCTCCTATGTGTTGCCAAAAATAGTGTAGTGCATTTAAATAGCAGAACTTTTGTCTCAAACTAGTAAGCAAGTCTCTTCTTTGTCAGAACTTTCTGAGCTATCCTCACCAGTAAATTGTGCATTCTTACCCCTGATCTATAGAACTGATGCTGCAGCCACATAAATCTAAAACCTCCATGTCCCTTCTTCACCAACAGCCAAGTTTCTGGCCCATCCCAAGATGGGTATTGGACATGGGTGCCTTCCCAGGTTGATCTGTCACAGAGGGAATATTTTCAGCAGTTAAAGGTCATTAATTCAGGATGGGAATTCTTTGTGTCCTTGGGGAAACTGGATAATGAAAATGTAGAAAGAGAAGGCTCTGGGCAAAGGAAGTAAGTGTATAAACTGCTGATCTTGACAATCATAAGAAACAAAGGGAAAAAAATAAGTAGATTAAAAAAACCTCACTAGTCAAAGACATCAGAAGCAGAGAAGGACCTGGTTTTTAACCCACTGATGTTAGGAGGAAAAGCAAACACAGCCCCTCTTCTCACCCAGGACACATCGTTTACCTGAGCAGCAGCCATGTCCTCGTGGTCCTGCTCCTGCTCTGGGTTCTTTTTTCAGGTGACATGCAGAGGAGTCACATCTGCATTGTGACAATGTGCCTTCAAAGGCTGCAGCACAGCCCCTTTTTCTGCTTCCACCACATTCACAGGCAAAAGAAACCTGGAAAGCCTGAAAAGGCCACTTTCTCCTGTCCTTTATCAAAGGAGAGTCAGGAGTTAAAGAGCTCCCACATGGAAACCACACTGAGTTTTCTTTCTTCTTTTCAGATGTTCTCTTCTTTCATCGACATCCACAAACTCCTACAGAGAGGAGAACATGCATTGCTGAACCTCAAACCCAGGTTACCTTCCCTGACCAAAGCCTGCTTCTCACTCTTACAAATGCAGCGGGGCATGCCTTTTCCTTCCCATTCTCCTTTGTTCCCCCTCTGCAGATAACCTCTGCCCTTTCTTTCTCCTAAACTCTAGGGGCCCATCTTATAACTCTTGTCTCTGGTTCCCTGAGCCCACTTATTCTATCTCCGACTTTCTAAATAAAATTTTTCTCATTAAACAACATGCATGCCCTGGCCAGGTGGCTCAGGTGGTTGCAGCGCTGGCCTTTCATATGTTGGAACTAGGTATTTCCCTGGGTTGGAATAGTTCCAACATATGAAAGGTTGTGGGTCCTGACCATAACCTTTCCTGCGGGTCCAGGACCATGGTCACGGTCCTAACCATGAAAGGTCAAGATACTTACCTAGGTTGTGGATTGAATCCCCAGTCAGGACCCATGCAGGAAGGAGCACATAGATCTTTCTCTTTCACATTAATGTTTGTCTCTTTCCCTTTTCCTCTCTCTAAAATCAATAATCACACCCTCTGGTTGAGGACTGAAAGAAATGCACTCCAGAGCATCTCCTGCTAATCCCTGGATTTACCTTAGCATCACCTGCAGCAACTCATTAAACAATGATGCTCCACCCACAGCAGTTGTCCAACTCTGTGGACAATGACACAGCTGATGTCTTAAAATTTTACAGGTGATTTAACAGGAATCTGCAGGGAAACGGTTTACTAAACATGCAGACCCCTAGAGAATTAGGGCTCCACTATGTTATAATTCTGCAGGTTTGCATTGGGCCCATGAAATGGCATCTTTATCTAATTCTCTCTTGGTGCCTGTGTTGCTCCCCCAAGGCTGTTTTCTGTAGCACTGGGCCAAATATATCACACCCAGCACACCTCAGATCTCTGGGTACAGGAAGGACGTCGGGCAGAAACTTCTAAAATGACAGGCTGCCTAGTCAAATTTTTTTCTTCTTTTCTAGAAAATTACAAAAAGTTATTTTAAAAACATAAAATGCAAGTTCTAATACTAAAAGCTTTAAAAATACTAGGTATGAAAATATGTTCATCAAAGTACACAATCAATAGATGGCCTTTCTGGGAACCATATTTCACGTCAATCCAGTCCTTCTTTCAATAGTTTCAGAGAATGGACAAGAGGGACATGAGGGGAACAGCTACTTTGTGGCTCAGTCACTAATTCAACAAATCACAAAAGGGAAGGAAAAAGCTGCAGAATATTAGATGAAGTCATGAAACTTGGGTCTGACTGTTAAGATCATTGACATTTTAAAAGAAAAAAGATCACTGACATTTTTACCAAATGCAAACTGAAATAATCTAATATTATTGAAGAAGTATCACTGGGTGTTCCAACATATGATAAACAGAAAAGATGCAGGGCTCAGAATTTAAACTACACATGATGTATTTTAATGGAAGACTATGTGGATTTGTTTGTTTATTTTTACTGTAATGACTTCTTCGTTTAAAGTATGGCAACAGACTCAGTCATTTCTTGTGCCCGGTCACCTCCCTCTTATAATCCCAGGATATGAGAAAGGACCCATGACTGGCAGACAAGTCTCTGCCCTCTGAGTGAATAAGGGTTACAATTGGAAGCAAACTATTATCAAATTTACAAGCCTTATAAACTGGACATTTGTAATTATCATTCAATTCTGTTTAACTGAAACAAATCAGCAAATGTTAAACTGAATAGATTATAAAGCCACAAGCCCCTAAAACACAACTTAATCCTCCACATCCAGGTTGCCCTTCTTCCTGCTACTCTATTTGTTTCTGTCTCTTCCCTGTCTCTCTGCACTGATGTCCTTTCCCGTTTCCCCTACCCCCTCGGGTTCTTTCCTATTCCACGAAACTCTTGATGCCTATTTCACCTTCACTTGCACTTTCTCCATAGTTTTGATTGCTCCCATCTCTGTACACGTTTGAGCCCCACCACCCCGCCGCCCCATGCCTGTGTCCCCTCTGCTGCTGTCCTGTCACCCCGCCCTCTAGCTGGCTGACTCTCAATGCTGTTTCTCCCTCCTCCGATCCGTCACCCCCAAACCCCCTTTCCGTCCTGCTCCTGCTGTCCCAGCTGGTCTCCCCAGAACCACTTACTCCGTCTGAAGCGCCTTGCCCTTTGCTGCCCCCACCTCTGCTCAAAGGCCCCGCTCCCTATCAGCTCCCCGGTATCCTCGGCCTTTCTTCCCTGTCTTCCTCCTCAGGCTCCTTTCGCCACCTACACTTTCACTCCTACGTTGCAGCCCCGTCCCTCCCACATCCCCTGCGTTAAGTGTCTTAGGGCCCCTCAAGTGTCCATCTCTCTCATTCCACCTCCGGATCCCCTCAGAGGCTCTTCCCACTGTTTTCCGTGCCGCCCCTTCCCCACCGCCACTTCCACAAATCCCCTCCTCCGCTGGGGGGGGGGAGAGGGCAGGTCCCTTCTGGGGACATCGTGTCTTCCCCTCCTAAGTACTATCCTATGGCGAGAGTGCTCTTCCTGGGATCTAGGCCTCTGAGAGAGAGAGAGAGAGAGAGAGAGAGAGAGAGAGAGAGAGAGAGAGAGAGAGTGAGTGTGTGTGTGTGTGTGTGTGTGTGTGTGTGTGTGTGTGTGTGTGTGTGTTTACTCAGGGAAGCGGGGGCGCTGTAGACTATCGTAATTGGCAATCTTGTCTCTCTGAACCAAAAGCGGCGAGGCGGCAGGAGGGGCACAAAAGGTTTTACTACATTGCCCGAGTTTGGCTCCCGAGGCTTTAAAGGGAGGGCTGCCCAGAGGGGAAAGGCTTTCGGCAGGAAAACTATGGGGCCGGAGGTACCCAAAGGCCCGAAGGCGGAAAGACCGTGCGAAGGACGGCCTCAGAGTTTCCCGGAGAAACAAACGCGGAGCGTCTCACCGCCGACTCACCACTGGAGGAGGATCGGGGTGGAGATTTCTACGTCTGTACTACCCCTCAGGCTTCACCTGCTAGGAAGATGGACTGAAGAAATCAGGTTTCAACCAGAAGAACTGGAACAAAGAACTACGTAACCGTAGCCACTCCACGGCGGTTTCAGGGTCTATAAGAAACTGCGCATGCTCCTCAACTCAAAAGATGGGCGGGGCCGGAGCCTGACCCCAGCGCTTGCGCAGTGGGTCACCGCGGGGAGCTTGAAAATGGCTAGGTGACATTACACCTCGCTCTTGCTTATATAGACTTTCCTTGTTCGTTGCGTTTGATTTACTCGCATTATTATTGCTGAACTCTAGTTTTTCTTTCCAAAATTAATATTTTGGTGACCGTCCCTCTGGACTCTCACCTCCCATAAGTCTGTACAAAGTGGCTCTCTTGGGCGTTCTTGGGGCAGCAGAGTGTTGAGCGAGTCCTCTCTGGGTCTGACTAGAGGCCAGGAAAGGACAACGAAAATGAGTAAATGAATGAATGAGTGCTATTTTGTGGGTTGCCCTAAGGTCTGGTGTGAACTATGAGCTTTGCTTCCAGGATTTCTTTTTTACGTTTAAAAATGGTGATCTAGCCCTGGCTAGTGTGGCTCACTGGATTGATTGCCAGCCTGCAAATCCAAAGGCCGCCGGTTCAATGACCAATCAGGGCTCATGCCTATATTGTGGGCCAGGTCCGCATTAGGGGGCGCAGAAGAGACAACCACACGTTGATGTTTCTCTCCTTTTCTCCCTCCCTTCTCCTCTCTCTAAATATAAATAAAAATTTAAAAATGCTGTTCTATAGTATGCCAAGTGAAATAAGTCAATCAAAAAAGACAAATATCAAATGATTTACTTTGATTTGTGTCGCCAGTGAGTGTCTCACAATATATTGTATTTTGCCCTATGTAATGCACACTTTTTGCCCAAACTTTTGAGGGAAAAATAAGGATGCACATTATACATGGGTAGTACCTTTTATCTGTTCTTGTGTTTTGTAATTATTTGTTACATTAAATTTCTTGTAACAAATTATGTTCAAACAACCACATCTAAAACAAAAGCAAGCTAAAAGGACAGCTAGATTAGGAGCAGAACCATAGAAATGAAGATCTCATGGAGGGTTAGCAACGGGAGTGGGAGGAGAAGTGGGGAGAAGGTACAGAAAATAAGTAGCATAGACAGTAGATAGAAAATAGATGGGGGGAGGGCAAGAATAGTATGGGAAATATAGAATCCAAAGAACTTGAGACACATGGTCATAAACTAAAGGGGGGGAATGGTAGGGGTGGGAGGTGCAGGGCAGAGGGGAATGAAGGGGGGGAATAGAACAACTGTAATGGCATAATCAATAAAATAAAAATTAAAAAAATTATGTTCAAAAACAAATGCTAAAATTCCTTTATAATACAAAAAAGTATCTTAATATAAATAAATAATTTAAAATTAACATGAAAGGTGTTTTTCCTTAAAGTTTGAGCCAAAAACATGGATGTGCATTATGTATGGCAAAATATAGTTGTCTTTCAAGTAAGTCCTCCCTCCACCAACCACTGTGGTCATGTGACCCAGGCCTTAGAACTGAAAAAGTTGAGTGGCCATATAGGCCACCAGCCCTGCAGGTAATGCCTGCACCAGGGAATGACAGCGAGTCAACACAGGTGACTATACTATTCACTCAGCTTTTACTGATGCAGGTTGAATCTTAATAACAATCAATCAATAACAGTATC